GCCCACACTGCGTTGGACGGGGGAGGTTGGCGATGCGTCGCGCTTCCGGGTGTGGGGTGCTCGTGCCCTTGTCCGCGATACGTCCGCGGACAAGCTCTCCTCCCGCACGCTTCCCTGTGTCTTCCTTGGCTTTGTCCCTGACGCGCCTGGCTGGCAGTTTTACCACCCCACCTCGCGCCGGGTCTTCGCCTCTCAGGATGTCACCTTTGACGAGTCGGTCCCCTTTTACCGTCTCTTCCCCTACCGCACTGCCCCCCTCCCTCCCCCGCCGCTTTTCCTTGCTCCTGGTCCCCCTCCGGTAGACCCCCTTCCCCCTCAGGGTCCTGCTCCTTCAGGTGTCTCTCAGGTAGACCCTCCTCCCGTCGCTGAGCCTGTCGAGGTCACTGGTGACTCAGGTGCTGCTGCGGGTGGTGCTGCTGGGAGTGCTGAGCCTGGGGGTGCTGAGCCTGGGGGTGCTGGGCCTGGGGGTGCTGGGGCTGCAGGTGCTGGGACTGAGGGTGCTGGAGCTGAGGGTACGGTGCCTGAGAGTACGGAGCCTGGGGGTGCTGCGCCTGGGGGTGCTGAGCCTGCGGGTGCGGGGCCTGGGAGTGCTGGGACTGCGGGTGCTGGGGCTGAGGGTACTGTGCCTGAGAGTTTGCCGCCTGGGGGTGCTGAGCCTGGGGGTGCTGCGACTGGGGGTGCTGAGCCTGCGGGTACTGAGCCTGCGGGTACTGAGCCTGGGGGTGCTGCTACTGAGCCTACGGAGCCTCGGGTTACTGTGTCTGGGGGTGCTCCGGTTCGGGGTGCTGAGCAGTCTCTCACACCGCAGCAGCTTCGTGACTGGTACGTCCGACGCTTTCGCCGTCCTAGTGGCTCGGCTGGAGTTGGGGGTGCTGGAGTTGCTCGTCCTGGGGGTGCTCGTACTGGGGGTACTGGAGCTGCCGGGACTGGCTGTTCTGGGAGCGCTGCGACTGGAGCTGCTGGAGCTGGGGACCCTGAGTCTGACCGGTATCGCGCTGAGCACCCTACAGTCACGCGTCTCCTTGCTACTGTTGTCACTGACCCCACCTTTGAGTCCTCGGCTGCGTCTGCTCTGGTCGCTGAGTTGGTTGACTTTGCTGCTGCCTGTCGTCTAGACTACGCTGCTAGCCTTGTCGCTGAGTCAGAGTCTGCGTCTGTCTGTCCTCCGTCCGTCGGGGGTGAGTGTGCTCTTGGCACGGACGTCCTTGAGGACAGGCAGGAGGACTTTGACTCACTTGCGGCTGCTGTACCTCATCTCGTGGCCTGGTTGCTTGCCCCTGAGGGAGACCCGGATGCAGTAGACATCCCCACTCCGCGCACCTACGCAGAGGCGATCTCGGGTCCCTACTCCTCTCAGTGGCAGACAGCCATGGACGCAGAGATGGCATCCTGGAAGTCCACAGGCACCTACGTCGACGAGGTTCCCCCTCCTGGGGCGAACATCGTCGATGGCATGTGGATTTTCAGGGTGAAGCGGCCGCCAGGTTCTCCGCCTGTCTTCAAGGCTCGTTACGTTGCTAGAGGCTTCAGTCAGCGTCAGGGGGTCGACTTCTTCCAGACCTTCTCCCCCACCCCGAAGATGACCACTCTTCGGGTTCTGCTGCACGTTGCTGCTCAGCGTGACTACGAGCTTCACTCTCTTGACTTCAGCACAGCGTTCCTGCAGGGCAGCCTGCACGAGGAGATCTGGCTGCGCCGCCCACCTGGCTTTACTGGGTCGTTTCCCCCTGGTACCCAGTGGAGTCTCCGCCGGCCAGTCTACGGTCTCCGCCAGGCGCCACGTGAGTGGCACGACACACTGAGGACTACTCTTGCGGCTCTTGGGTTCGCGCCGTCTACTGCTGACCCGTCGCTGTTTCTGCGCACAGACACGTCGCTGCCGCCGTTCTACATCCTCGTGTACGTCGACGACTTGGTCTTTGCTACTGCTGACACTGAGGCACTCGCTCGTGTGAAGTCGGAGCTGCAGAAGAGACACACCTGCACTGACCTGGGTGAACTGCGTAGCTACCTTGGCTTGCAGATCACCCGGGACAGAGCTCGCCGCACCATCACCCTGACTCAGTCACACATGGTGCAGCAGGTCCTTCAGCGCTTCGGCTTCCAGTTCTCCTCACCACAGGCCACACCTCTGGCTACCAGCCACTCGCTCTCAGCTCCACCTTCGGACGAGTCCGTAGAGCCGAGTGGCCCGTACCCAGAGCTTGTAGGCTGCCTCATGTACCTGATGACTTGCACGCGACCTGACCTCGCGTACCCTCTTAGCATCCTTGCTCGTTACGTTGCGCCTGGGAGACACAGGCGAGAGCACTGGGAGGCTGCTAAGAGGGTGCTGCGTTACCTGTGCAGTACATCAGGCATGGGGCTGGTGCTTGGAGGACGCGACAGAGTTGTCCTCACTGGTCACTCGGACGCCTCTTGGGTGGACGACCTAGCTACGCAGCGGTCGTCACAGGGTTACACCTTCAGCCTTGGCTCAGGTTCTGTCTCGTGGCGGTCCACCCGCTCTTCCTCTGTTCTCGGCTCTAGTTGTGAGGCCGAGATCTACGCCACAGCCATGGCTGCACAGGAGTTACGCTGGCTCACCTACCTGCTGACTGACTTGGGAGAGCGGCCTAGTTCTCCTCCAGTTCTGTACGGTGACAACAAGGCGGCTCTTGCCTTGTGTCAGGAGCACAGACTGGAGCACAGGACGAAGCACATTGCTCTTCGCTACTTTCTTGCTCGAGAGCTTCAGCAGCGCGGTCAGCTTCGGCTTGTGTACGTGGACTCGAAGGCCAACACTGCTGATATCTTCACCAAGGCGCTCCCGCCTAGTGATCATCAGCGGCACTGTACTTCTTTAGGCCTTGTGTCCACGTTTCCTCACTTGCTCACTGCTTGACATTCTTTGTACTGTACTTTATATATATCTTGTTGCTTGCTTGCTAGGTTTTGATCACTGTGTTGCTTGTCTTGTACTATATCTAGCACTGCATGTGAACTGGCCTTGTGGCCTTTACTTGTGCTCGGAGTGTGGTGACGTTGTGATCCACCCTGGGCGTTGCTTTGCTTTGCTGGACTGGTCTTGTGACCCTTTGTTCTCCCCCACTTTGCCTATGGGGGTGTGTTAAACTGTAGTATGCTTGTAGGCTGTAGTGGGGTAGCCAATATGGGGTACAACCCCAACTAGGGTTTCATATTTGTACCCAAACTTCTGCTAGTTCATCATTCTTGCCTAGTGATTCTGACATGTAACAGCAGGAACAGGAACAGTAGGTGCTGCAAAACCCGAAACCCTAAACAGTAGGCTCGGTCAGGGCGACGCGGCTCGGGGAGGTAGGGCAGCGCAACGGCGGGCCTATGCACGGAGCGTGGTGGCGCCTAAGGTTGCAGCTGCGCGCAGGCCGCGGCTGGGGTCGTGCTGCAGCTAAGTGCGAGCTGAAGCAGCCGACGCGCAATCGCCACTGCGCGCGGGCTGCGACCTGCGGGCGGGCGGGTCGACGGGCGGATCTAGCCGCGCGGGCGGCCTACGATCATCGCGCGCGCGATTCGGGCCGCGCGCAGACCGCGCACGGGCAAAAAACGAAGCCGCGCGCTGGTAAAAAAAAGGGCCGCGCGCGACCGTCTAGCGGGCGACGTGACCAAGAAAAAACGAGGCGCACGAGGGCGCGAAATGAAGAAGACGCTCGAGGGCGTTAGCGGAAGGGCGGGCCCTTAGTACATGTGGTCCTAGGTTACTAACCTAGGCTTCTGATGCCATGTTAGAATGAGAAGAGTATGTGTGATTAGGTCAATGTTGGGGTACAAGACTAGAGTGTCGAGGAAAATTTTGTACCCTCTAAGGCTAGCCCCAATATAGCCTAGATACTAACATGCATATGTTTTGACAGTTGTATGAAGAACCATTTTCGGCAAAGTCACTACTCTGAAATTCTTACAATCCAAAAACAAGTAAGTCTGAGGTTCTCATGTTTGAAAATCTTACAACTCTGAAAAATCAGGATCCACAGGAAAAAAACCCTGAAATTTCAGACAATCAGACTATTTTAGTCTGATAAAGTCAACCCTGCTCGGAACAGTACATTCCAAGTCACCCTTATCCTTATCTTATCAGGTTCTCTAGTGCCACGTGTCATTATAGTTTTCTAGCTTTACAATTCTTAGTCCCACGTTCTACTTTTCAACCTTCCTTCTTGCATGCTATATAAACCTTGCTTGTACTTGCCATTATCAACCAATTCTCATTCAACTCTTCTTCAATTACTCAGTTACTTCTTCGCCTATTTCGCCAACACTCTCTTTCGCCAAAGTCTTCCGCCGCGTTTATCCTCAATTTAGTCGACCCCGCTATTCTTTAGCGGACTTAGGCCGTCGGGCCTAACAACAATGTGTACTTGTATGTTAATTGTAAGTCCGCACTATACGCCTGATACTGTACTTCCTGTCTGTCTTAGGTGAATGAGGAATCTGTTTACACGGCATCAAGGAATCTACACATTCTGATCCCAATATGATCAATCGACGGTGCACAACGGTCCTTCGTGTTTGTCTCTCAATCCCCACCAATGAGCTGCTTAGCGACAGCAGGCAAACGAAGCAGGCTGTCTCGACGTTACCGAAAGCACATCCACCGCACAGCACGGTCACGCGAGTCCAACGCGGAGAAGGCTATACGCGCTAGTGTCGCCCTCCTTTTGAAAACGCACAATCCCATGTCGGTCAAGCAACCGTCATCATCGTCCCCCACCCAACCCCGCCCACAGCCGTGTGTTCTACTATTCGCTTTCCTTCCAGTTCAACCGCTACCCGTCAGCGGAACCCCCATCCACCGCACGCCATTCCCGTTTCGTCTCTCCATACACACACCACTCCGCACTGGTGGTTGTCTAGTTGGTTGAAGCATTCATGCCAGTGTCACTTCACAGCAGCTCAATTGCAAGCAATCCCATGTGAGGGCGAGTGCGAGGGAGGAGGCTAGATCGGCGTGGATGGTGGGGGTAGTGGTGCAGACCAGGGGCATGCTGTGCGCGTCAGTCGCATCAGCAGGGTGGGTTCAGAGGCTGCTTTCCTTTCCTTGTGTTATAGATTTTAATTGATTCTTTTCCATTTAGTAGCGGCTTCTTTGCGTTTGTGCGAGAAATTTCGCGTTTCGTTTGCGTCGCATTTCAAATAATTCATCACCGCCTGTGCTTGCAGTCGTCACAGCAGCCACATGCTGCCTAATCTCACCGGACCTCCCGCAATTTCGTGGCTTCGAATTTCCCGGCCATCAGATCGCAAACCTAAGTAGACGTGCCGCACACGCAACCAAATTTACCGCAGTCGCGCGCCATCATGGGGTCCATGGGTAGATTAATCTCCTCGGTCTCGGGCCCGTTCCAGCCGTTCGGCGGCGCCGTGGACATCATAGTGGTGCAGCAGCCGGACGGCTCTCTCAAGAGCTCGCCGTGGTACGTGCGGTTCGGCAACTTCCAGGGCGTGCTGAAGCGGCGCGAGCGCGTGGTGTCGATCATCGTGAACGAGGTGGAGGTGGACCTGCACATGTTCCTCGACACCAACGGCGAGGCCTTCTTCCTCCGCCACAACCCCTCCGACGCTGGTAGCGCCGACGACGACGAGGAGGAGGAGGACGGGGAGGAAGAGGAGGAGGAGGACGGGGAGGAAGAGGAGGAGGAGGACGAGGAAGAAGATGAGGGGGAGGAGGGAAGTGCGGGGTCAGAAGGCGGCGAGGAGGAGGAGATGGAGATGGAAGGGCAGGGGCAGAGCGAGCCGCAGCAGCGCAAGGGAGCAGCCACAGCGGACACAACGGGGTTGACGGGGAAGAAAAAGGCGAAGGCGAAGGGGACGGGGGGGCGGCGGAAGGGCGCGGGCGCGGGCGGGAGGTTGAAGGTGGACGTGCGGGAGATCGAGCTGCTGGAGCAGGAGGAGCTGGCGATGGCGCGCGCGGCGGGCGTGGAGCCGGAGCTGCTCAAGATGATGGCGGAGGCCAACCGCAAGATCCTCACCGACGCCAAGTCGCCCTACCGCGTCGTGCGCTCGGGGAAAAAGTCGGGCGGGTTTAAGGCTGGTGCCGCTGGTGCTGCAGGGGGTAATCGTGATGGTAGCCCCGGCGGCAGTCGCGCGCTGTCGCACACGCTGTCGGAGCCAGAGCACCCGTCGTCCACGGGGTCGCTGCCGTCGCTGGGTCGCACGCGGGACGGTGCGTCGCTGTCGCGGCAGCTGTTTCGAAGCCACTCGCAGTCTGACTTGATCGACACACCGGAACCCGCTGCCTCTTCCGCCGTGCCACGGGGGGACGGCGACGGGCCTCAAGCTACAGGGCTTGCAGGGAGCGAGCGAGGGGGCGATGGCGACGACGCGAGCTCGTCGCAGGTGTTGTCGCAGCTGGCGGCGTCGCACGTAGACCCGTCGCTCAACGTGACCCCGCCTCGGCCCCGTGCGGGCGCGTTACCTGCGGGTGCCGCGAGCGCGCTTGCGTCGGTGGGCGGCGGGGTGTCACCCGTGCCGGGCTCACTCAGCCGCTCGCGATTGAAGCAATCGCGTAGTGCGGGTAGCAGCAACGAGTTGGCTGATCCGATGCTGGAGGGAGGGAGAGCAGCAGCAGCGAGCAGCGCGTCGGACCTAGCGCTGGGAATCAACGCCACTGCAGCGCAGCTCGCGTCTGCCACGCAAGCAGCCGTTTCGTCGGGCGCGGGCAAGAGCGTGCGCAGCATGGGCGCAAGCGCGAGCGCGACGTTCGTGGGCATGGTGGCGAGCAGCAGCGCGGGGTCGCTCGCAGATCACTCCGACCTCGACCTCCCGCTCCCCCCGCCCGCTCTTGCCCCCGCCTCCGCGCCCGCGTCCGTGTCCTCCTCTACGCAAGACCTCGCGCTAGTCGTTGCGCGCGCGGGGAGCGCGGGGTCAGGCGCTGGCGCTGTCCCAGCGCAGAAGGGCGCGGGGGAGAGTGGGGGGACCGCGGGAGAGGAGAATGAGGGAGAGAGCGAGGGGAGGGATGAAGCGGATACGGATCCAGTGCTGAGAGAGGGGCGGGAGAGAGAGAAGCGGTGGCGGCAGGTAGTGACGCAGGCAGCGGAGGTAATTAAGGATGCGCCATGGGCGTGCGAGGGCGAGTACGCGGACATGCAGAGGCGCAAGGAGGAGAGCGCGCGGCAGCAGGGCGCAGCGGCGGGGGGCAGGCGCAGCTGGAGCTGGTTCAGCTGGCGGTCCAGGCAGCACAAGGCCGCTGCCGCGGCTGCTGCTGCCGCTAGTGATGGTGGCTCGGGCGCAGGGGAGGGCGGGGCAGGTGGGGGGAAGGGCGAGGATGGGGCGAGTGGGGACGCAGGGAGAGGCGGAGGAGACGTGGGTACGCGACAGAGAGCGGGGCGGACTCGGGTGGTGGAGTTTGAAATAGGGGATGGGGAGGGCAGTGGTGAGGCGGGGGGGAAGGGAGGGGAGGACAAGAGGCGGGATAGAGGTGAGAGGAGCAGTGGAGGGGACGGTGTCAGGGAGAAGGGCGCAGGGACGAGGGCGAGTGGGAGGGAGCAGGCGGAAGAGGAGGAGAGAGGCGGGCATGAGGGTGATGGGCGGGGGAGCGCGGGGCAGGGCGGGGAGGCGGCATCAGCGGAGCTGATAGAGGAGCTGTTCGAGCGCAAGTGGGCGGAGGAGTCCCAGCTCAGACGCCGCAAGGGCGGGCAGGGGGGCGCCAGCAGGGCGTCCGGGGTAGGCGCAGGGGGGCAGGAGAGGGGGGCGAAGGGGGAGGACGGAGAGGAGGAGAGTGGGGAGGAGGAGGGGGGAGGGGAGGAGGGGCGGAGGGTGTCGTTTGCGTCGGTGGAGCGCGGTGGCAGTGGGTCATCGTCTTCTGCCAGCCTGCACAGCCTGTCGCCCGTGGAGCTCTCCCGCACCAACAGCTCCGACGCCCATGCCCTGCCCGCCCATGCTGCTCATGCTGATGATACTGCTGCGGGTGCAGGTGCTGCAGCAGAGAGAGGTGCGGATGAAAGGGGAGGGCAGGCAGATGGAGAAGGGGCGGAGGAGGGCGAGGGTGGCAAGAGGGATGCGTGGAGGCGAGCGCTGTCGGAGAACCAGCGGTTCTACTCCTTCAAGCAGTCGCCCTCTCTCTCGGGCGCCGCTGTGGAGGGAACTGGCGATAGGGAGGACGCACAGGTGGGGCGAGATGAGGCAGACAGAGAGGAGGCAGAGCAGACACGGGGAGAGCAGGAGACGGAGAAGGAGGAGGATGTTGCGAGAGAAGTAGGGGAGCAAAGAGAAAAGGTCGAAGCAGAGGTGACACCAGCAGTGGAGGTGGCCAATGGCACGGTGACACGTGTCTGTGTGGAGCCTGGTGAAGTGGACGGCATGGATGGGAGAGAGAGTGAGGAGGCTGGTGTTCCAGGAGTGGTGGGCGAAGAGGGCAGGGGTGAGGAGGGGCGGAGAGCAGCAGGTGGAGTCGATTTAGTAGCAGAGGACAGCAAGGTCGCTGCTGCTGCTGCTCATGCCGCCGCTGCTCTAGTTGCTGCTGCTCGTGCTCGTGAGGCTGAGTCTCCCACTGCCTCTCTTCCTGCTGCTGCTGCTGCTGGTGCCACCATTGCTGATATTCCAACAGAGGCTTTTGCTGATGATGCCGAAACTGCTAGTGCTGACGTTGCCGCTGCTCCTGCAGCTGCCACTGATGCTATGGCCGCGGTAGCAGCAGGCGCGGCTTCCTCTACAGCAGGTGGTGGTGGGCTAGAGGAGGAGGCTGCACGGGAAACTGGGAGTGAAGGGGCTGAGGATAGCAGCGGAGAGGGCACAGCAGGAGGCAGTGAAGGGGTGATAGGTGTGGAATCCGTGGGTGGGGCTTTGGGAGAGACAGGTGGACACTCCTCACAGCTGCTGCTGGCCCCTATCTCCCATGGTGACAGTAACGAGCGTGGCGGCCATGCCAGTGAGTGTGACAGTATTGACCGTGATGGTAAGGAGGGGCATGAGGGGCATGGTGAGGGCGTGGAGTGCGAAGGGAAGGGGTTGGTGCAAGGGGAAGGGAGGAATGGGGAGTTGAAGGAAGGGGATGAGGCTGAGGTGGAGGAGAGAGAGGAGGACGGTGAGGAGGAGGGCGCAGGGAGTGGAAAGTCAGTGGTAGGGGGCAAGAAGAAGAGGAGGAAAAGAAGAGGAAAGAAAGGAAAGGGGGAGAAGGAGGAGGAGAGCATGGGGGAGAGAAGTACGGAAGAGGAGGAGTGTGAAAAGGTAGGTGAGGCAGGTGAAGGTAGTAGTGGTGGTGGGGCAGAGAGCAGGGAAGGTGTGAGCAGTGCAGAGGCGGGTGAGGCACACGAGATAGGCGAGCAAGGTGAGAAAGAGGGCGCTAGCTTAAGGCTTGGTGTCGTGATGGCAGGGGAGGAGAAGGAAGAGAAAGAGGGGGGAGAGCGAGGAGATGGGGTAGAGAAGGGCGAGGGAGAAAGGGAGGGAGAGCTGAAAGGGGAGGAAGGGGGAGAAGGGCAGAGAGCAGAGGAAGGGGAGAAGCTGGTGGGGGAGGGGCTGCGGGAGGGATTGCAGTGGAGGGCCGTGATACAGGGAGCGGTGAAGTTGTGGGTGAGGGAGAAAGGGGGGAGGAGGGAGTCGCAGGTGCGGCTGTGGATGTTCGTGCGGCAGGTAGCGGTGCGAGCGATGGCGCTGGTGATGGGGAAGTGGCAGGGACTGGAAGCAAGGTGCAGGAGAGAGCGAGGGAGGTGCAGGAGGAGGGGTTACAGGAGGGGTCTGGCGAGGGGGACAGTGGAGGGAGTGACGAGCATGGTGGGGGTGTGAAGGCGCGCAGAGAAGAGGGCGAGATGGGCGCGGGGGAGAGCGGTCCCGAAACAGTGGGAAGTTCTTATAAGGGCGTGGTGGTGGAGGGGCGGGATGACAGTGCCCGTGCATGCGACAGCAGTGCGGGGCCGGGCGCTGGTGCAGTGGGAGGTGCACTGGTGAGCGAGGGGTGCGTGGAGAAGGGTGGGAAAGAGGGAGGAAAGGAGGAGAATGCGAAGGGGGATGGGGAGGAGGAAAGTGCGGAGGTGGGGGGTGGGGAAGAGAGTGCGAAGGAGGAAGGTGCGAAGGAGGAAGGTGCGAAGGAGGAAGGTGCGAAGGAGGAAGGTGTGAAGGAGGAAGGTGTGAAGGAGGAAGGTGTGAAGGAGGAAGGTGTGAAGGAGGAAGGTGTGAAGGAGGAAGGTGTGAAGGAGGAAGGTGTGAAGGAGGAAGGTTTGGAGGAGGGCACTCGTTTGACAGAGGGTGAGGAGCACGGGGAGGGACATGTGAGTGATATGCATGAGAAGGCATTTGAGGATGGAGTGGTGCCGGCAGAGAGAGAGAGGGCCGAGGGAGCAGCGATGGGGAATGAGGGGGAAACAGAAGCAGCAAACAGCACAACTGCACAAGTCCCACCAGAAGCAGTAGAAGCTGAAGCACAAGCAGAAGCAAGAGTGAGTGCAGGGGCAGCAAGAGGCACGGAGAGTGGTGGCGGTGCGGCAGTGGCAGCATGGGAGGGTGGGTGTGGGGCAGTGGTGCATGGCGCACCATCTGTGGCACTGCTGACATCCACCAGCACTGCTGCTCCACCACACCACGTGCCTGCTGCTCATCAACCTCATGCTTCTGCTCATATTTCTGCTGCTGCTGCTGCTGCTGCCGATGCTGCTGTTGAGGTTTGTGAGGCAGGGAGCGAAGAAGCCTCGAGGGAGGGGAGTTTGGAGTCAAAAGGTGTTTCCGAGAGTGAGCAAGGGCGTGGTGAAGTGCCGACATCACAGGGCGAGCTGCAAGTGCCGCCGCAGGAGCAGAGAGAAGGGAAGGGGGAGGGAGGCATGGGGCAGGCAGGGGAAGGAGTGAGGGAGGAGGAGGAGGAGGAAGGCAGTGAAGCAGAAGAACCATTGCCAACGTCTCATGCTCCTGCTCCGCACTCACCTTCCACTCCTCCTGCCTCTGCTTCTGCTGCCGCTTCGGGTTCGACCGCTCTTGCTCTTGTCGTTGCACCACCGGCATCAGCAGCAGCACCAGCAGAAGCAGCAGCACCACCACCACTAGCAGCAGCAGCAGCAGCATCCGCATCAGCAGCAGCAGCAGCAGCAGCACCCTCTGAACCGCCCACAGCCCTGGTACCCAGCGGTGCACCGTCCGACGCCGCTCCCAGTGGCCCCCCCCAGCCGTGTCTGGAGCTGGCAGTGTGCCGGCACCTGCTGTTCCCCAAGATGGGCAGCGATGCTGCGGCCACGGTGTTCAACGCGGCCAAGATCACGTGGCACCAGTTCCGCTGCAACGCGCCCTCCATCCTCTCCAACGACCGCCTCGTTGTGAGGGTGGGTGACAGGTACTACCCCTGGTCCGTCGCTGCACCCAAGCTCGTGGGCATGCTCGCCTTCGGCCAGATGATGCCTCCCCTGCTCGACGCCGATGGCGCCATTCCTGTGGAGAAGCCGCCTCCCCCTCCCCCGCCGCCGCCCAAGCCCGGGCAGGAGCAGAAGCAGCTCGTGGTGAGGGGCGCCGAGGGGGGAGGCTGGCGCCTGTGGCCATTCGGGGGAGGCGCGGAGGGGCGGGGGCGGCGGTGGGAGCAGCAGGGATGGCAGCGAAGGTGATGAGTGGAGGGGCGGTGCAGGCAGACGTGATGCTGGCAGCGGCTGCTGCAGCCAACGTGGCCATCCACATGGAGAGAAACAAGGGCGGAGGGGGCGGTGGCGCTGCTTCCGCCGCCGCAGCCGCCGCTGCGGTGCGGTTTGCGCAGCCGGGGCTGCTGCGGGGGGGCCAGCAGGCGCAGCTGCTGCTGCGGGAGCGCGAGAACGAGTTCTACGAGCGCGCCACTCACGTGCGGTCGCTGACTCCCACGTCGGAGCAGCTCAAGGCGCTGGGGCTGAAGGAGGGCAAGAACCGCGTGCAGCTGACGTTCACGACGCGCATGTGGGGGCGGCAGGAGGTGCAGTGCTCGCTGTTCGTGTGGCGGTGGAACACTCGCGTGGTCATCAGCGACGTCGACGGCACCATCACCAAGTATGCCCCCTGCACGCATGCAGGGGGTGGGTCAGGGAGGGGGGCGGGGAGCGGGGGATGGGGCAGGAATGGGGGGAAGGTGTGATGATGACCCATGAGCCCTGTGCCTTTCATACCTGCCGATGCCCGCCCTTTGTTTCTTCATTTCGTGCGTGCGTATGGGTTGTGCATGCCCACAAGCCATCTGGTCCATCTCTGTTTTCTCACCCCATCCACCCGTTGCCCTCCCATCCCCCTCGTCTCCCCCCCCCCTCGCCGTGTTCCTCGGCTGCCTATGACATGCACGCGCCACCAAACCCCCACCCATCCGCCCCACGCCCTTGCATGCGGCATGAGCAGGTCGGACGTGTTGGGGCAGGTGATGCCGCTCATGGGCGCGGACTGGACGCAGATCGGCGTCGCCAGGCTCTTCACCGCCATCCGCGTGCGCCCCTGCACCCACCATGCCCACCATGCCCACCATGCCCACCATGCCCGCCATGCCCACCATGCCCACCATGCCCACCATGCCCACCATGCCCACCATGCCCACCATGCCCACCATGCCCACCATGCCCACCATGCCCACCATGCCCACCATGCCCACCATGCCCACCATACATGCATATCTGCGTTGGTGTGACCCACATGTGTCGCGGCTGTCCCTCCACCTTGCCTTGCTGTGTAGCCCACAGTGGGTTTTGCACCTTAACCATTCAGCCTCCCGTCATGCACAGGCCATGTTCTACCTATTATACCGTATTTGCACCTTCCACCCCTCCTCGCGTGTCCTGCGCACATGGCATCGTCCATGTGTTGGACCGCCATGCCCTCTCGCATGTGCATCGCACCCACCTACACCAATCACCATCGTGCCTACCTTCCGTACCCCTGCGTGCATGTGCCTCGCCTACCTCTGCCTCTCAACCCCCCCTCCCCCCCCCAGGCCAATGGCTACGAGCTGTTGTTTCTCAGCGCCAGGGCCATCCAGCAGGCCGCGCTCACTCGCTCCTTCCTCTTCTCCCTGCGTCAGGTACCCTCCCATCCCGTCCCCTCCCCTCCCCTCCCCTCCCCTCCCCTCCCCTCCCCTCCTCTCCCCTCTTTTTTCCTTCCTCTCCTTTCTTTTCCCCTCACCTCTTCTTCCCCTTCATCTTCCTCTCCTCTCCCACTGCTAGTTGCTCTTTTGTCCTCACTGGCATTCAGTCGCTGTCCTCCGCTTGCCCCACTTGCCTGGGTGCGCGTGAGCTTGCCAGGGCCAATGATCTGCATGCCAGTGTCACCCCGCCTTTCTCCCCCCTCCCCCTCCCCCAACTCATGACTGCCTCCATGGCATGACATCAGCCCTCCATGCGTGTGCGCCCGTCGTTCCCCCTGCCCGCGCAGCTGTGTGGCCTTCAATCACACTCATCGCATCGTCACACTCACTCCTCTGCACCTCCTTTCCCCTCCGCGCATGCCCCTTGTTCCCTGCATTCCCCGTGCATGCGCGCATGGTCCACGCACCAGGACGGGGAGTTTTCATTGCCGGAGGGCCCCGTGGTCATCTCACCGGACGGGCTCTTTCCCTCGCTCTACCGTGAAGGTGCGCCCTGTTCCACCCACCGCCCTGCTCCTGCTTTTTCCCGCTCAGATGGTTCGCACCTTGTTCACTGCATGCATGGCACTCAACCCCGTTGCATGCACCAGTGTCGCCCTTATTAACCGCCCCTCCCATTTTTCATGCTCCTTCCTCCCAATCCCTCCCTTCTTTGTCTCGCTCCTCTCACCCGCCAGTCATTCGCAGGGCCCCTCACGAGTTCAAAATCGCATGCCTCTCCGTATGTTACCCCTTCCCCTGCTAACATCCCCACATTTTCCCCTTCTCGCCCCCTTCTTCCTTCGTCAAGTCATATCTGCTCCTTCAACGTCATTCACATCACAATTGGCGTTGAAACTCACCCGCTTCTCTACAAGCGCACTTGTGCTCCCTCCCCACAAGGTCAACGTACAATGTCCTTCCCCCGTTTTACCAATCCCTCCCCTGCCCTTGCACATATTCTAATTACATTCCATACCAATTCCCCCTCCCCTACCCCTCCCACCCCCTCCCCCTCCCCTCTGCCCCCCTACCCCTCCCCTGCAGGACATCCGAGCGCTGTTCCCGGCGGAGGTGAATCCGTTCTACGCGGGGTTTGGCAACCGCGACACGGACGCTGTGTCGTACGAGGCCATGGGCATCGCGCGCGGCAAGATCTTCACTATCAACCCCAAGGCGAGCCCCCCTCACACCCACCCCCATCCCATCGCATGGGGTGCAGTCTGGGGGGCATGGGGCGTGTGTCCTGAGGGGGCTCAGCCACTGCTGAGGGGGCACGCATGGGCATGCGGAAGAGAATGGGTTGTGGGCGGGTGTGGGGAGGGACAGTCATGGTTGAGCATGGCAGTCCCAAGGGGGTGCTGTGCGTGTCGTGCCATCAGTAAGCCTGTGCAAACTGCCCTGAGCTGCCACTCACGCCCTCTTCCCGCTCCTCTCCTCTGCCCCTGCTCTATTACCGCCGTCATTCGTTGCACCATCACCACCACCACCACCACCACCACCACCACCACCACCACCACCACCACCACCACCACCACCACCACCACCACCACCACCACCACCACCACCACCACCACCACCACCACCACCACCACCACCACCACCTCCTCCTCCTCCTCCTCCTCCTCCTCCTCCGCCTCCTCCTCCTCCTCCGCCTCCTCCTCCGCCTCCTCCTCCCCCTCTTCCCCTACCTCAACACGCCATGATCCTCACATCCTCACTCAGTCAATCTTCTTATTCCGTCACCCACTTTCCCACCCTCTCCCCCATGCGTGCAATGGCCCGCCATGCACCGCGGTGCTGTGCGGCATGCAGGGCGAGGTGACGGTGAACAAGGTGCTGAGTGCCAAGTCGTACGTGTCCCTGCACGACCTCGTGCACGACATCTTCCCCGCCTTCGCCCTCACCACGCCCCAAGGCCCCGAACCCGTGAGCCCCAACCCCCTCTGCCTCTCCCTGCCCCCACTACCCACCGGGTTGACCCTTGCCCTTGCTGCTCCATGCTGCATGCCTCTACACCCACGCGTGCACACACACACGCCCAGTCACCTGGCGCCACGCTGCTGTTGCGTGCTGCACCAGGCTGGCCATAGTTCGCCCACAAGTGTGCCCCTCTGCGCTGAATTGCTCCGCTTTGCTTCCACTCGTGCTGAGCTTCGCCCTTGGATTTCTGCGCATACTCTGTGTGCGTGTGCATGTGCACATCTGCATGGGTGCATGTTTGCATGGGTGCATGTTTGCATGGGTGCATGTGTGCTTGGGTGCATGGGTGCTTGTGTGCATGGGTGCACATCTGCACATCTGCATGGATGCATGGGTGCGTGCGTGCATGCGAGCATGGGCATCAGGAGGACTACAACGATTGGAACTACTGGAAGACGCCCATACCAGTCATTGACGAGGACCTCCCGGAACTCCTGTCAGTCACGACTCCCTGCCTCCCTGCCTCCCTGCCTCCCTGCCTCCCTGCCTCCCTGCCCCCCTTCCTCCCTACTTGCCTCCTGCCACTCCCTGCACGCTTGGCATGCGTGCATGCACGATCCCCCACTTGACTCACAACTTCCTCACCCTCTTCCTCAATGTCCTCGTGCCCTGCATATCTGCATCTCACCATCCTCGCTTCGCCATCACTCCCTCGCCTGCCCTGCCATCTCCCCGTCCCGTGCCTTTCATCCCTTCTGTGCCCGTTAACAACCCCTATGCGCCCCCTCCTCCCCTCCCCGTCCCTCTTCGCCTGCACAATCCGTCCCATGCACCGTGCATGCCATGCACCATCTGCCTGCCTGCCTGTGGTGTGGAGCAGCCCCAAGCGCGCTGCCTCTCGCCGCCGCTGACCACCACTCCACGGTGACTCTCACACGCGTGCCGCCCACTGCCCAGCCCATCCGTTGCCAATTGCATTGAGATTGCTAGGCATGTCATGGATGGAGGAATGGAGTGATGCAGGGCACTGGTGTGGGAAATAGCTGTTGGGTTTTGTTGCGCTATGTTGGTGGGTGGTGGTGTGGAAAGGATGAGAAGTTTTAGTTTTCATGTGGGTGAATGATGGAGAGAGGCTGCCTTGCGTAGTGTAGCGTTCAGATCAAATACTGGTGTCGACCCTGCTGTTCGTGTACATAATATGAATTTCTCACGTGTTGGCACACTTGCTGGCTGCCAAGCCGAGCCATGTTCACTGAACCAAATTGTAACACTAAGCTCATTTTCGGTGGGAATGGTTGCAGAATGCGGTGTAGACAGATTTACAACGAGAGCCCATCCAGATTCGCGAGGATCGACGGATAAGCCCATCCGCTATAGCCCTTCCAGAAGCCGCCATGCGAAAATGATGAATCCAGAAAAATCCACAACCAGCAGGTTTTCAACTTTCCAACTATTCTCTAAACCACAGTCATTCATCGCCACCACCGTTCGTGGCCGCCTCGCGAATCGCAGCACTAGGATCTAATCTGCATTTCGTTCTCACGTTCCCACTCGCGCAACGTTACAGTTTACCACCCTCTTTTTCCTCTCCTCCCCACAACCCCCGTTTTTTTCTCCGCGGCCGACGCTGTTGGCGGAGATTCCGATCCTGCAAATCGCCGTGAGGGAAACTCTTGAATCTGCAGAGATTCGCGTTGCGAGAGAGCGAGCGGCAGGGTTTGAGGCAGCGAGCGAGGGAGGAGGCGAGCGCGCGCGCGTGCGAGGGGCCATGGACGGCGTGCGCGAGGCCACCGCCAACCTGTCGCTCGCGGACGGCGCCGCGGGCGGTGCAGGCGCGCAGGGCGGAAGCGGAAGCGCAGGAGCGGGCGGAGCAGGGCGGCGCAACCGCATCCAGGTGTCGAGCTCGAAGCGACCGCTCTACTTCTACGTGAACCTCGCTAAGGTGCCCGATATAAGATGCGCTCCAACGCGTCGTGCTGGAGGAGTGTAACGGGAACTATGCTGGAACGGGGAATGCCGGAGAGGCGTTCAGGGAGAGAGATGGGTTGGTGGTGAAAAGAAACGGGGAGAGGGGGGGAAGCTGGGAAAGAGGGTGGGCAGGAAGGGAGGGGGGAACAGGGCGTAGTTGGGTTGGGAGGGTGAGAGGAGCAAGGGTTGGGATGGGTAGGAGGGTTGGCTTGCTGTTTGCAGTGGGGGCGGTAGGAAATGGCATGGGAGTAAGCAAGGCGGGAGGGGTGAGCGGCGAGGAGGAGAGAGAGAGGGAGGAGTGAGAGTCGCGAGGGTTGCTGGCGCCACCAGCTGCCACGCCCAACGCATGCCGCCCAAAGCATGCCGCCCAAAGCATGCCGCCCAAAGCATGCCGCCCAAAGCATGCCGCCCAACGCATGCCGGCCAGTGCATGCCGTCTAAGCCATGCCGCGTCCTATGGTGCTGTGTCTCACCCTTACGCGTACCCCCAAATGGCCCTCCTTCCAGCACATCTGCTTCTCTGCTCGTCTTCCTCAGTCCCCTTCCCCAAATCTCCTCCCTTTTGACCACCCCGTTTGGTCCTGCCCATACCGTCCCACCTCACCAGTTCACACCCCCACCTTCCCCTCTCTTCCCCCACCCCCCCTCCCATGGCCTACCACCTTGCGCGCGTCCTCCCCCCGGGTGCGCCCACAGCGGTTGCTGCAGCAGTACGAGGAGGTGGAGCTGTCCGCGCTCGGCCTGTGTAAGGGCGCAGGGGCACGGGCAGGGGGAGGGGCGCGGGGCGGGGGCACGGGGCGAGGGGTGCAGGGGGAGGGGGAGGGGCGTTTTGAGAGGAGCAAAGGGGGGAGTGGGGGGAGGGGGGGAAAGGGGTGGGAGGGGAAGGAGGAGGTGGAGGTAGGGATGAGTAGAGGCCGAACTCGAACAGGTTCGGGTTTGTCCTCTGTCGAACAGCTCGAACAGCCGAACCGAACACTGTTCGGTTCGGCGAACGATTTAGGCCGACAGAAGTGTTCGATGTTCGCCCTCGTGGGCGAACACTTTGTACGAGTAGGCGAGCTCGAACATGTTCGCCCCGAACATGTTCGCGTTCGATTTTAAGCAGATTCGCTATAGTCACACCTGTCAGAAAGGGTACGTTAAGGTCCAGAAAGATAAAAAATGGGGTTCGCATGAAGAAAAGTTGTTCATGCAACCCACCTAAGGCTACAAACATCATCCTGTTGTGTAACAAAAATGCAACAATGTAATAAATTCCTAGGCTAACGCGCCGCCACTGCTACTACCAACAGCAGGCTCCACCCCGCCAGCTGTGTCATCAGCAGCCCCCACACCCTCCCCCCCCTCCTCCTCCCTCTCCTCCTCCTCATCCTCCTCCTCGTCGTCGTCTTCCTCCGCCCCCTCGCCCTCAATGGCAAACTCTGGCGGTGCGACGCCTCTCTGTCGGCGGCCCTCGCCTATCCTCTGGCCGGGGTGTGAGGTGTACCAGGATCGGAGAACCATGACAGCTCGGGTTCTCTGGGAGGCCAGGCGGTGCTGCTTCCAAGAAATTACGTTGCGGCCAAGGGAGAACACGCGCTCGCTCGAAGCGGACGTGGCAGGGATCGCGAGATAATCCCGGGCCATGCGCCTAAGCGTCTGCATGTTGGTGGCGGTGCGCCAGTACTACAACGCCGTCACGTCATCCCGAACCCGCTCCGACAGGTACCTGCTAACCTCGTCATCCTGTAGCATCCCGCCCCACCCCGCCTGCTGGCTCGCTGAGAGACGCGCTGCAAGTCGCCGGCGACTAGGGATATATTGCGCATCCTCGTCGTCATCCGCCGCGTCACCCTCCTCCTCCTCCGTCACGGTGGCTAGTGGGGGCGCCCGGGGGGCTAGCGCTGCAGCCCGGGTGTGGTACTCGGCCACGCGGTCGCGTACCAGCTGGACCACCTCGCTAGAAGTGGGACGCGGCCTCACCCTCGGCTCGGTCTCGGGATGCTGCGACTCCCAGTGCTCGTCATCGAACCGCGCCGCCTTCATGGACAGGTCCAAGAAGGTGGCGATCCACAGCTCGTTGGAGGACATGTACGCATACTTCTTCAGCACCCCCAGCGCCGCCTCGATCATCGGCTTCAGCGCAGCCGATGGCCCCTTCGCAAGGCGCGCCTCCATAGCATCGATCAGGCCGTTGTAGTACGGCACCACCATCGACACTGTAGGGTACGCCGCCCCCTCCGCTGCCTTCGAGACTCTGGCGAATAGACTGAGGAATGCCTTGACAGCATGCAGAGTCTCCCAATCTGCATCAGTCATGCGCAAGCTCTCGACCTTCTTCTTGTCAGTCGCCGACAAGCCCTGTAGGTTTGTGGGTTTGGACAGACAGTGGGTACCAATAAAACTGGGGTTAGTGAGAGGGGCTTGTCATTGTAAAACACACAACAAACATGACCACCGCCAATTTTGTCAGTGCTTAGTCTCAACACCACGGCCTACCCGCACACGAAACCCCCGCACACACACAACACCGGTCGCGTACACCCGTCACACACACCTGTGTCTGGGCAAAGAAGACATTGATTGGTTCCTGCAGAACCCCTTTTTCCCCACGGCAACCCCCACGCTCCCACCCCCTTCACGCACATGGTGTGAGCCCGCCTCTGTCGCCGCCTCTCCACCACCCTCTCCCACCTCCTCCTCCCGCCCCTCTGGCTCCAACCCATCATCTCGTGGTCTTCATCATCATCTCCCCCCTCCCCACCGCCATGCGTCTCTGGGTCCCACCCTGCCTCACTGTCATCCCCGCTCCCCTCATCGTCCTCATCCTCATCGCCATCACCCTCCTCCTCCTCATCCTCCTCCCCACTGCCACTCTCCGGCCGTGTCTGCCCTGAAGGAGGGGGTCGAGGGCCGTCGTAGCGGAAAGACTGACGTGATGTCGGCGCCGCTAAGGAAATAAACCCTCCCACAAAGCTAGCGCCGGCTCCTCCAGGTCCATCCCCTACCCGCCCCTCCATAGGTAGTGGTGGAGAACCTGGAACGCCGCTCCAAGCGCCGCCTGGACCTCGTTCGACAGAACCACCTCGGCCAGAAGCCATAACTCCGCCCTCGGCTCCAAAACCCTAAAACCCGCGGTGAGGCAACGGGCGGTTTCTTTGGGTAGTAGCACGGCCCAAAACGTACTGAACTTCGTGTGGCTTTCTTAAATGTCTGATTCGAATTGTACGGCTTAGACCACGTGTTGCTTGAAGAAGATGCTTCAATAACTACCTGAAAATTAGACTACATACACTCCTCCACTGAAACCCTAGATATGATCTCCGGGAGGATTAATTGTGACGGTGAGTTAAGGCTTTTACAAGAAGAATGCTAGGGTGGGGTGGGGGTGTGAGGTAGGGCTGGCTAGGCTGGGAAACGCGATCTGAGTTTGAGCTATCGAAATGAGCCCAAACTCAAATCGGCCGCGACCTAAAATTGGTCGCGGCCAAATTTGACGCGAACACTTTGGTGTTCGCGTAGCCCCCGAGTCGAACACGAACATGTTCGTGTTCGACTTGGGGGCCCCTGTTGACTGAGGCGAACGTCGAACATGTTCGGCCGAACACCGAAGATGTTCGCGCCGAACTATTTAGGCAAAAAAAAATGCCTGTTCGAGGCGAACCGAACAGGCGTTCGGATTTTGCTCAACCCTAGGTGGAGGTATAAGTGGGATCGGGAAAGGAAGGTGGGAGAGTGGGGAGGGAGAGTGGAGAGGGAACGAGGGGAGGGCGAGTGGGGAGGGAGAGTGGGGAGGGAAGGAACGAGGGGAGGGAGAGAGGGGAGGAGGGGAGCGACGTAAGCACGCAGAGGGGTGTCATGGGAAGGCGAGTTGAGGTGCATGGGTGTGCACGAGTGGCAGTGCGCGCCAGTCGCATGTCGTGTGTCACATGCATGCACGACATAATGCACGGCCACATAATGCATGCCACCTCTCGCTGTGCTCCGCTCCTCATGTGTGTGCACCGCATGGCCCTTCTGTGGGCCACTTTCTTGCTCTCTTCATGATGTGTCATCTCATTCTCCTGCATTCTTCCTGGTGTTTCCTGTGTGTCTGTGTGTGTGGGGGGGAGACTGGGAGGGGCGGTGCCTGCAATTGGGTGTGTGTGAATGGGGGCGTTTGTCGACCTGCTCGCATTCCCCTCTCTGTGCATGCGTGTGTGTGTGCGCGCACATGCGCGTGCGTGCGTGCGTGCAGACGAGGGTGTGGGTGTGTGGATGTGTGGATGTGTGGGTGTGTGCATGTGTGCATGTGTGCATGTGTGCATGTGTGCGTGTGTGCATGTGTGCATGTGTGGGTGTGTGGATGTGTGCATGTGCGGGTGTGTGGATGTGTGGATGTGTGCATGTGTGCATGTGTGCATGTGTGCACGTGTGCATGCGTGGATTTGTCTGCATGTGTGCATGCGTGGCTTTGTCTGCATGTGTGCATGTGTGGATTTGCGTGCATGTGTGGATTTGCGTGCATGTGTGGATTTGTGTGCATGTGTGCATGTGTTGATTCGTGTGCATGTGTGCGTGTGTGTGCATGTGTGTGTGTGTGTGTGTGTGTGTGTGTGTGTGTGTGTGTGTGCATGTGTGTGTGTGTGTGTGCATGTGTGTGTGTGTGTGCATGTGTGTGTGTGTGCATGTGTGTGCGAGTGTGCAAGAGCAGCGATTGCAACAGCAGTGACAGTGGCGGAGATACTGAAGAACAATGGCTTCGCCGTTGAGAAGAGTGAGCCCAATCACCGCCCTTGCTCCTCCACTTCCTCCTCGCTCCCACCTTTTCCCCCATCCCATTTCATCCCATTCCATTTCATCCCTTTCCATCCCAACTCTTTTCATCCCATCCTGTCCCATCCAATCCCATCCCTTTCCATTTCCCGAGGCATGAACTCTGCAGCCTCGTTTGTGTTCGCGCACTCTCTTCCCCCCCTCCTTCCTTCACTCACACGCGCTCTCCCGCGCGCTGCACGTCCGCGTTCTCCCATGCTGGCAGGGGTGGCGTGCAGCACCATGGACCTGCGCGCGGACGACAGGGGGGGGCGCGCACCCTTCAAGCCCAAGGTGCCTACCATGCACTCTCGCTCGGGGAATAAGGGAAAGGGGTGTTTTTTTGTGGGGGTAGGAGACGAGGAGTCAGGCAGGCATGGATGGTGGGTGAAGTTGGTTCGTTCGGTCCAGCCCGACAGATGCTGCAAGACCATGCTCACAGCATTGTTCCCACTGCCATGTCTACATATTTTCCACACGTCACCTCTCTCACTTGCTCTACTGACTGGCTCTTCGGTCATCGTGTGTGTGACCCCACCCCCCCAATCGCTGCGTCACCCCCTCCCCCCCTGCTCGTGCGTGGTGAGTGCAGCTGGAGGTGGTGTTGGGCAAGTCGGAGCACTTTGACCAGCTCATGGCGGCAGCAGCAGAGGAGGCGCTTGTTGCGCCTCCGGAGACCACCTGAGGGTGCCATGCTGCATCACTGCCAGCCATGGCTTTCACCCTGCTTTCATCAAGCCGTTCTTTGGCATGTTCGGCGGAAGGCAATGGCGGTTGGTTGTAGGTGGAGCAGTTTTTCCTTGTATGGTAACCTTAGTTGTGGTTTGTCAGTGGGGCTGAGTGTAGATTTCCTCATACCGGTACCGTGTTTCTGAAACACTCATAAAGCATTCCTAAAAAGGTGATGTTTTTTCTGTCCAGATACTGATTTGTGGTTGGAATGATTGTCAAATAGTTAAGAAATGATGCGTTAGGTCAAAGGGGAGGGGTACAAGAAGAGCTGTGAGAAACTATTGTACCGGTAAGTACCCCCTAACATGCAACGCACTACTTGCTAAGCAAGTATGCAAAACGTAACTTTGGCGCACCCCCATACCCATAGCCTTAGTGAAGTGCATCAAAACGACCAAGACATGCAAGTGGTCATGACCAGGCAGGAGAAGAAACACACCAAGCACAGGCAAGCGGCCACAAGCCCAGACCACATGCAATGATATAGTAGAACAAACCGTAATACCCCGGATATAAGATCCCCTCTAGCTATAGATGTCAGAAACTAGAGACAGGAATGAAATGACTAGATCAGGGTTTGGTACAAATATGAAACCCTAATAGGGTCGTACCCCATATTGGCTACCCCACTACAGCCTACACATATATAACATGCATATAATTTGACACACCCCCATAGGCAAAGTGGGGGAGAGCATAAGGTCACAAGACCAGTCAAGAAATGCAAAGCAAGCTCAGGGTGGATCACAACGTCACCACACACACTAAGCACAAGCAAAGGGCCACAAGGCCAGTTCACATGCAGAGGTATATATGCAACAACAGCATTACAGTGACCCCAACCAGCAAGAGCAAACATGCAGGTACCGTAAACCCCCGTATATAAGACCTCCTCCAGTTGTAGACCCCCGGGTCTATAATACGGGGGGGGGGGGGGGGTACTCTATTCGAGTATATGCGAGTTATACCCCCCTAAATGGCTCCTGACAATATAAGACCCCCCCCCACCCTAGAGAATTCCGGATTTTCAGCAAATGCAATAGAAAATGGTCATTTCCATGTTCAGGGAAAGACAGAACCACCATAAACGCACATGCACATACACATTTTCATCCTAATCTTGACCAGCAACCCAGATCTCCACCTCCTCCCCATCATATCGCCCTTCTGCCCACCACTCGTCGCCATCATCCTCCCATCCCGCTCCACCCTCCACCTCCGCACCGCCTTCCACCTCACCCTCCTCCTCATCCCCCTCGTCCTCCTCGTCCTCCTTCTCGTCCCCCTCCTCCTCCTCGTCCTCCTCCTCCTCCTCCTCCTCCTCCTCGTCCTCCTCCTCCTCGTCCTCCTCCTCCTCCTCCTCCTCCTCCTCACCCTCCTCCTCTGGAGAGGAGGCATCATCGTTGTCCTTGTTCGCAGGGGCAGCAGGGTCGGGGTAGAAAGGATTGGGGATGAGCTCTTCTAGCTCCTCCTCGCACACATCCTCCAGCACCTCCACCTCCGCCTTATCCCGGAGATGGGCGAGGATCAGCTCATCCTCGCTCCCGTTCACGGCGGTGGAGATGCCGCAGGTCACGAATGCTTTCTTGATCAATTCTGCAGGGACGTCTGCCCATGCCTCCGCAATCCACTGCAGAACCTTTTCTGGGGGGGTTTCTTCAGATTTCCTGCGGAAAACGACACGGACAGGGCAATCGTGGTCAACACACGGTCGAGGCACACGGTAAAACGGGTACAACTCAAGCGCTCACCTGCACGAGTGAAAGACTCAATCCCCTCATCCTGGAACAACGTGGAGTAGCGGTGGCGAACCCCAGCTTTGAAGCTGCCGTTCACCGAAACGTCCAGCGGTTGCACCAGCGATGTGCAACCGCCAGGGATGACCGCGCGCGTGAGCTTGAACAGCTTCATCGTCTGGCCGACTGCTACCGTGGTGTGCCCTCGGTAGGAGTCGAGGACTAGGAGCGCATCCTTGCGCTGACCATCCTCTTCGCGGTGCGGCTTCAGGAAGGGGACGAGAACCTTCGTAGTCCATTCTTGGACAAGGCTCTCGTCCATCAGGCCCTTTTCCTGGGCTTGCACGATAACACCTGCGATTATCATAATACCTCCGGGTCTTATATACGGGGGTTCATGGTATATATGTATATATATGTCAAACTTATATGTGATTGTATATTTAGGCTCTAGTGGGGTAGACACTATAGGGTACAACATTTCTAGGGTTTTCTACTTGTACCCGCCCCGCGGCCCTGCCCCGTCGCCACCCGGGTGCCCCCCTCCCTTGTCGCGACGCCTCCGCAGGACCCGCGCGTCGCCCCCGCCTCGTCGCGACGCCCCTGCGTGACCCGCGAGGCGTGACACCTGCGCGTCGCGACGCCCCTACGGGACCCGGGCGTCGCCCCCGCTCGTCGCGACGCCCTTGCGGAACCCGCGCGGCGTCGCCCTTGCCCGCCGCGGCGCCCTGCCCTAACCCGCGCCCCTGCGGCAGCTGCCCCTGCAGCAGCCGCCCCTGGTCCCTGGAGCAGCCGCCCCTGCAGCTGCCGCCCCTGCCCCCCCCCCCCCTGCAGCAGCCGCCCCTGGCCCCTGCAGCAGCCGCCCCTGCAGCAGCCGCCCCTGGCCCCTGGAGCAGCCGCCCCTGCAGCAGCCGCCCCTGGCCCCTGGAGCAGCCGCCCCTGCAGCAGCCGCCCCTGGCCCCTGGAGCAGCCGCCCCTGGCCCCTGGAGCAGCCGCCCCTGCAGCAGCCGCCCCTGGCCCCTGGAGCAGCCGCCCCTGCAGCAGCCGCCCCTGGCCCCTGGAGCAGCCGCCCCTGCAGCAGCCGCCCCTGGCCCCTGGAGCAGCCGCCCCTGCAGCAGCCGCCCCTGGCCCCTGGAGCAGCCGCCCCTGCAGCAGCAGCCCCTAGCCCCTGGAGCAGCCGCTGGAGCAGTCGCCCCCTGCAGCTGCCGCGGAGCCCTCGCCCTGCAGTGGTGCCGGCCTTGCCGTTGCCGCCGTCGTACGCCTGCCCTTCTTGCCACTGGTGAGCACTGTCCTGCTCTTTCTACTGCTACTGCTGCTAGTGCTGCTACTGCTGCTCTTGCTGCTACTGCTGCTCGTGCTGCTCCTACTGCTACTGCGCTTTCTACTGCTACGGCTGCTCCTGGCGTGGCCAGATGCAGCTCCAGCGCCGTCCGCGTGAGTCCCTCACGCCCCAACAGCTTCATGAGTGGTACGCTCGTTGGGGTTGTCGGGGTGGCCGTAGTGGGAGTCGTCCTGGAGTGAGTAGTTCCGGAGCTTCTTGTAGTGGCCAGGTGCAGCTGCAGCGTCGTGTGCGCGCGGTCCCTTCGCCCCCGCAGCTTCATGAGTGGTACGCTCAGCGTGGAGGGTCACGGGGTTCTGCTCGCTGCCCGTACGTCATTCGCACTGGTGCTAGGACTGGCCAGCCTTGCGGGACGTTTGGTCACACAGAGTCCCGCTGCTTCGCCCGTCTGAGCGACGCCTAGCGTATAGAGTTTGGTGACGCGGCTGAGCTCCCCGACTGGGTGGAGCTGCTTAGGCAGAGGGTAGATGTCTATGCTCTTGACTATGATGCTATCCTCACTGCCATGTATGCATTGCCTACTAGTGATGACGGTGACTGTTACCTGAGTGTTCCGCCCGACCCGGGCGGTGCAGCTGCTGCTCTAGGTGCTAGTGAGTCTGCTGCTCCAGGTGCTAGTGAGTCTGCTGCTCCAGGTGCTGGTGAGTCTGCTCTCTCAGGTACCACGTCTGCTCAGGCGTTGCACACTTTCACCCTTGACTCGGGTGCTTCCCGCTCCTTCTTTCGAGACCGCACCACCCTCACGCCGCTCAGTCGGCCGGTTGCGGTCTCCCTGGCAGACCCCTCTGGGGGTCCTGTCCTTTCCCACAACTCCACTGTGCTGCCGTGTCCAGCGGCCCCGTCTGGCTCCCTGTCAGGTCTTTACCTCCCCTCGTTCTCTACGAACTTGGTGGCGGGAGCTGACCTCCAGGATGGAGGGGTTCACCAGTTCACTCCTGCGAGTCAGCGGGTGACCCACTGCACGTGTGCTCGGACGGGCCGACACTTGGCCACGTTTACCCGTCAGCCAGGGTTGAGCCTGTACACACTGACCACCGAGTCTCCTCCGGTTGCTGTGCCTAGTCAGGTAGCTGCGTCGGGTTAGGTGTTTGCTGCGGCGTCTCGGTCTGGTCCTGAGTCTGCCCCCTGCTCGTGTCGCCTCCTGTCCCACCAGACTCTTCTCTGGCACCACCGCCTTGGTCACCCCTCCCTGCCTCGTCTCCGAGGCATGGCCTCTTGTGTTCTTGTCTCTGGTCTCCCCCGGTCTCTCCCTCCCCTCCCTCCGGGGCCTGCCCCTACCTGCGTTCCCTGCGTCGAGGGGCGGCAGCGCGCCGCTCCTCACTCCTCTGAGTTTCCGCCGACAGAGGCTCCGCTGCAGACTCTTCACATGGACGTGTGGGGCCCAGCCCGCGTCCGTGGACAGGGTCACGAGCGCTACTTCCTGCTGGTGGTTGACGACTACTCGCGTTACACCACAGTCTTCCCCTTGCGCCGCAAGGATGAGGTCACTGAGGTGTTGATCGACTGGATCCGCGCTGCTCGTCTCCAGCTCAGGAAGAGTTTCGGCTCGGACTTTCCTGTTCTGCGTCTGCACTCTGACAGAGGTGGAGAGTTTTCCTCCGGCCCTCTGCGAGCCTTCTGTCGTGCGAGGGGCATCCGCCAGACGTTCACGCTTCCGGCCTCTCCGCAGCAAAATGGGATTGCTGAGCGCCGCATTGGCATGGTCATGGATGTCGCTCGCACGTCCATGATCCATGCGGCTGCTCCCCATTTTCTGTGGCCGTTTGCGGTTCAGTACGCGGCGCATCAGATCAACCTTCAGCCCCGGGTCTCCATGCCGGACACCTCCCCCACTCTGAGGTGGACGGGGCAGGTTGGCGATGCGTCTGCGTTTCGTGTCTGGGGATCTCGGGCTTTTGTCCGAGACTTGTCTACGGACAAGCTGTCCTCCCGTGCTGTTCCCTGCGTCTTCCTTGGCTTCCCCCCTGACGCGCCTGGTTGGCAGTTTTACCACCCCACCTCGCGCCGTGTTCTGTCCTCCCAGGACGTCACGTTTGACGAGTCGGTTCCGTACTACCGTCTCTTCCCCTACCGCGCTGCCCCCCTCCCCCCACCGCCGCTCTTCCTTGCGCCAGGTCCCCCCCCGGTAGACCCCCTCCCCCCTCAGGGTCCTGCTCCTTCAGGTGTGTCTCAGGTAGACCCTCCCCCCTTGGCTGAGCCTTTGGAGGTCACTTCCGACACCTCTGGCCCACCTGAGGGGGGTGACGCTGCTGCTGACGCCCCGGCCTATCGCCGCGCACCACGCTTGGAGACCCCTCCGGGGTTCCCTCCGCGACCTTCTTCGCCGCCTCTGCAGCCGGTTGCTGTCGACTCTGGTGCTGCTGGGGGTGGTGCTCCTGGAGGTGCTGCGTCTGGGGGTGCGGAGTCTGGGGGTGCTGAGCCTGCGCGTGAGGAGACTGGAGGTCCTGCGCCTGGGGGTGCTGTGTCTGGGGGTGCTGAGCCTGTGTGTGCGGAGTCTGGGGGTGCTGAGTCTGGAGGTGCGACGCCTGAGGGTACTGGGACTACTGGTGCACGGTCTACTTGGAGTGGCCGCCTTCGTCCGCGTGTGCCTCTCACCTCCCAGCAGCTGCACGACTGGTACGGTCGCCGTCAGAGTTGCGCTGCTGGAGACCGGAGCTCTGCTGCTGGAGGTACTGAAAATGCTGGGGCTGGAGGTGCTGCGTCTGGAGGTGCTGCTGCTGGAGACACTGAGACTGGAGACCCTGGGACTGGAGGTGCTGGCTCTGGGGTGTCAGAATATATCTTATGTATATGTCTGTATAAGTGCATGTAGTTCTAGCTGTAAAGTAGTTACCTAGTGTTCTGTGTGGTGGTGCACCACTCCTTGCTGGTTCTCTTCTATTTGTACCTGCTCTTTCATAGTCAAACCATCTCATTCTCCTATCTCCTTGGCTCAACCCCCCTCGATAAATCCTTGGGCCTAGGCTCCTAAGCCTAGGCCCTAGCTAAACCCTAGTCTCTAACTACGTTCATTATTTAACATGGTATTAGAGCGTTTCGTTCCTGAGGACCTACCCTTTCCGCTTCCGCTGCCTGTCAGTGTGCCGCGCGCCTCGGGCGCGCGGCGATTTTCTGCCCGCCGTGTGCTCGGGGCGCACGGCGGTTTTCAGCCCGCCATGCGCCCTGGGCGCGCGGCGTCTTCCTGCCCCGCGCGCGGCCTGCCCTCACGCCGCCTGCGCGCCTGCCCCATGTCCGCGCGCGGGCCTGTTCTTTCCGCCCGTACCCTGCCCGTCGCGGCGCCCTGCGAGGCGCCGCTCCTGCTCGTCGCGACGCCCCTGCGGGACCCGTGCGTCGCCGCTCCTGCTCGTCGCGACGCCCCTGCGGGACCCGCGCGGCGTCGCCCTGCTCGTC